GTTTCCCGACAAATCATTTCATCTTTTTTCTGGGGGAAAAAAAAAAGGTTCCTCCTCTGAAAACAAAAGTGGAGGCAACAGGTATTGTGATTCCTCCCTTCCAGGGCTGAGGAGAGGAAGTAACGGCTGGCCAGGAAGGGCAGAGCATCTTTCTTGTCCCATAGCAAATGCACAACTTCTTGATAGGTGGTCGCCCCCAGGGTGACTGACCTGCCTAATGCCCACTAGACTGGCAGCTGGCTTCCCCAGCAAGCAGGATCCCAGGAATAAGGACTAGGGTTTTCTCTGGGTAAGTTCTGCTTTCCAGCTCTCTGTTTTTAGATCAGGGGAATTAAGACATCTCTTTGTTTTAAGATCCATGGATGGCAGAATGACATCAATTCAGAAATAATTGTCTTTAGCCACAGAGTCAGCCAGGAACTTGTTATAACAGAATTTAAGAAAAATGTAAATGTGCACTGGAATTTCATCGAGATGTATCTGTTAGGCAGCCTCACGGCCACATGGACTGTTGCAAAGCTTAGGGCTTTCTCATAAAAAGGGAATGTGGTTAAGATTTCTATCATATATCAGTGTTTTTCTCTCTCTTTTTCTCTCCCATCTCAACCTGTCTTCTCTTCCCTTTTTCCCATTTCTCCTCTATCTCACCCTACTTTCTGCTGAGTTAGTACATGCTTTTTAAACAGCTCTATTAGAAATGTCCTTATTGCCATCTTCAATATTATCTTTTGGTCAAATGTCATACTGTCGGATAGCTCCCTGAGCAGGTGAAGGCACATGTGTGGCTAAATGCAGTTAAGCCACACTTACCATCAGCTCCGTGGCCAATTCTAGTCTCATGAGACCTAGAGCTTCGCCCCAAAACAGGACAAGTCCTTTGTAGGTCCAGGGAGCTTGGCCTTTCTACGTCAACTTTCCAGCAGGTTGTCAAGATCCCATGGGTCACTTCTACTATTTTATCTATGTAATTGTTTTCTTTAAACTTTTTCATGAAAAAAAGATCATTTCCATGAGCAGCGCTAAGTGATAATAGTGAACTTATAGATTTGATATGCTAGTTATGGAAGCTAAATGCCTGTCTTCAGAAATAAGTGTGTGGGGAGGCATGTCCTCTGGTGGAAGGGACCCAGGTAATGACCTTTTATACCGTCCTTCCTGACCTGACAACCTGCTACATCCTCTCTGATAAGTGGCCATCTGCACTGGGCCTGAGCACGTCCCCTGCGGCCCAAGTCCATGCTTCTCCCGCAGGGCTGGGGCCCTGAACAGGATGCTTTTTCTGTGACCTCAGCCCAAACGAGCTTCACCAAGTGTGGCCTTAGCTTCTGGCTCATAGCACCCCGTAACAAATGGAATCGCTCTTGCCATTTGGGGCATCTGTGACCACTGTTCCTTCTCTCCCTAATCCTGTCTGAAAACCAGAAGCAGGAGCTCATTCTAGACGGGAGGCAATGGCTTGCCCTTTGCGGCAGGGGTGGAAGGGGGGTGTGGGGGGGGGTTCCTGCAGGTCTTTTATATTCTCTGCGCTCCATTGGGACGAAATGCCCACGGGCTCCTCCATCAGGTGGGAGGGACAGGCAGAAGGAAGGGGCGGAGAAAGCGGATGCAGAGACAAGACTGGTCTGGTGGGTGGGTGCACTGTGACAGCTGCCTGGCTTGCTGCCAAAGTGTCAGGGTGGACAGCAATGGGGCAGGAGGAGCTGGAGGGTGGCCCTGCCTGCGCTGTCCTTAGAACTGACCAAAGCTAGAAGCTTATGACTCCACCCAGCAGAACTAAGAAGAAACAGAATGTTTAAACCTGTTAGAGGCAACCCATGTATCTAACACACGTAGCTGGACCTCTCAGGCTCGCCCCAACACTATTATGTGCTATTTTTAATGAGATTGAAGGAGCAAACCAGAAGCTTCCTTTACATACAAGAGAACCTCACATGCTTTTCTATGAGCTGCGTTAATCATCATTTCTTTAAGAAATGGAGCGCTGGGAACATTTCTAGCCATCAGGACATACTGGTACCTCAAGGGAAGCAGGGGTGGCAGCTTGCAAAAGCACATTTGAGGGGCACCTGGGTTGCTTAGTTGGTTGAGTGTCTGACTTTGGCTCAGGTCATGATCTTACAGTTCATGAGTTCGAGCCCTGCACAGGGCTCTGTGCTGACAGCTCAGAGCCTGGAGCCTACTTCCGATTCTGTGTGTCCCTCTCTCTCTGACCCTCCCCTGCTCATGATCTGTCTCTGTCTCCCAAAAATAAATAAAGGTTTAAAAAAAAAAGCACATTTCAGACTGTCACACACTTCTAGCTAAAATGAGTCCTGCTCTGTAGACTTTAAGAGTGCGGGAAATATTCTTACTCTTTTCATTCTCTTGAATCCAAGTGAGGTCATTGATGAGCCATTGTTTTGCTACAACAGGTGGTCTAGTTTGTCCCTGTGCCTGGGACATACACACCCCGGCAGCAATAGTCCGAACTTGCCATCTTACACAGAGCAGAATACTCAGGAAGGTCTGCAAGGTGGGAGCCACCTTCTTGGAGACAGGACAGAATCATGTGCTGGGTAAAACAAGACTCCACATTCCTATTTCAGTAAGTTTTTCTGTCCCCTAATTGCCTATTTGGAACCACTCCCTGAAAACTCTTATTGTTATATAATATGAACAGTGGGAAAATGAGATTAAAATATATATATATTTGGGCTAGTAGAAGAGTTTGCAAAGAACAAGAGAAATGGTTTTCTAAATCCTGACATGGGGAAGCGCCATGTTGAAAAGACGCTGTCCTCTCCCATAATCCCTTCACATGGGGGCACCCAGCCACCTATGGCGACTGCAGCATGGGGCCCGGCAGGCTTTGCCCTGATATGATGAATTCGTAGCAAACAAAGCCTCTAAAGGCACATAAAGCACAAAGGGACTTTTTTGTAGATTTCCTCCCTGAACGGAAATATCTTCCTGCCTTACTCTGGAAGCTGACACATTTGTTCCCTTCTGAGTGTCTCTGCTCCGTCCATTTACCTTGTTCTCATGGATTCTCATTTGTAGTCTCCAGTGCCAACTGACACAGACACATGTGCCACCACTCTTACTGGCACATTCTTTCCCTGTGTCTGGGAACCTACATGCCTTGCTTTCAGGTGGCTCCTCCTTCCTGCCTTTCAAACATCTGGGAGGTGAGGGAAAGACACCCATTGGAAATATCCACAGGACAGTGCAAATTAATAATTCAATAAATTGCTACCATTTTATAAATGAGGAAACTGAGGCACAGAGAGGTGGACACTCAATAAGTGACAGCTAATACAATATTTTTGTTGTTAATTTGGCTTAGTAACATGTAGTTCTTTTCCCCCACTGGTAGGTGTTGATGGGGATAGTAATTTGATGGGTTTTTTTTTTTTTTTTGGTAGTCTGTATTGTTTCCTTATATTTCCCTCACCTCTCTTCTCCCCATTTCCCAAATAAAAAAAAAAGCCCTAAACTTTGGTATACTCTATCCAGAGGCTACAATGGGGAAAGTGAAGACTGATATTAGGTTTATTGGGTTTCTACGGATGAGACTGGGCTCCAGCTGCTTTTCTATTTATAAGGGTATGAACTAAAAGTTTTTTTCCTAAAGAAGATATTTTAAGGCATGGATTAAGCTACATAAAAAAAAGAAATTGGTTGTTCACTGGGTATATGTTGTTTGTTCATTATGAAAAAAACTAACCCACAGATTATAATAAATGTACTTGATACAGTGATAGCAGAACTCAACTCCATGCATCATTGATGGAGATTAATACTATGTCTCAAAATTGTAATTATTTGAAATTGAAAAGGAAGAAAATTAAATAACTAGTGTCTTTCCCATTTTCTAGTAAATGATATCACTTTGGTCAGAAGTACGGTTTTATTTGTCTTTGTTATCTAGTCTATAAGCCAACAGTTATGATTTCATTGAACTTATTTGAGGTCACTTGTAATAATAAAAAGTATATTATTTTAAAAATACCCACCCCCAAACCTTCCCATCTATTTTAAGTTGTGTTTTTTCCCCCAAGTGATTTTCCTAACATTGCGGCTAATATCATAATGCGAAGAATAAGTACCTTTAGATCTATTTAAATACGTTTAATTATGGTCCCCATAATGAGAAACATCCTACTCTTTTCTAAAAGTGAAAAGCTTAATAAAGTGGTGCCATTTAATACACAATTCTAAATTTAACAAACAATTCTAAGTCAGGTAATGGTTTTGGGGAAATGGGAGGAATAAGGAAGAAAATAAGGGTTTAATGGTCAAGTTGACATACATTGTATTAGAGATGTTTCTTGCTAAAATCATCTAGAGGGAGCAGAGAGTTCTTTCTAGAGCTATTACTGTGAACAATTAAGTGTATTTATAAGAAAATATAAAAAAACTGGGGCGCCTGGGTGGCTCAGCTGGTTAAGTGTCTGAATCTTGGTTTTGGCTCAGGTCATTATCTCACGGTTCACGATTGAGCCCCACATCAGGCTCCACGCTGACGGGCTGACAGCATGGAGCCAGCTTGGGATTCTCTCTCTCTCCTCTCTCTGCCCCTCCTCCTTTCTCTCTCAAAATAAATAAATAAACATTAAAAAAGAGAACATAAAAAAAATCAGCCATGAAAATGTCTTTTACTCCTCTACAGCTGGTAATGACACCTGTTATGGTAAATATTACACTGAAAACACACAGACCATACTGAAAACTTTAGTGAGAACTCTTTTTTGGGGGGTGGGGTGGGAGAGTCTTTAGCTTGACTTGAGAGAAATGCCATCTCTTTTAGGGGGTGTTTGCAAGTATTCTGAACTTAACCAAGGAGGTAATTCCACTCACTCAACAGCTGTGATGGTTGTCATAAGCTGAAGGTCTTCTGCCCTGCGGATAAGCCGCCTGACCCTTGCCTACAGACCAGGAAGAAGAAACTTGCAGCAAACTTGTAAACAGAATGACTCCAGGGGGAAACGGGGATGGCATGCACGTTAATGGATACTTACATAAATGTCTGCACCATAAAATCCATCCTGGTAAACAACACTGCGAGGGTGCACACACAAAGAAAAACATCCATATTAGTGCATTTCCCCATGCAGACACACCAACCCCTGCACTGGCGAAGTTAGTCTGGTCACAAGATCCAAAACACAGGAACCGAGGAGAGTTTTCCACATTGGTTAAGGAGGTTGGAGACAACAGTTGTCCCTCAGCCTGAGAAAATTAGGCTGGGGCTTGGCATTGGCCCTGAATCAGGACGTGGTGGCATGCTGGGTACCAGACTTCCCACTCCTTCAGGAAGGGGTGCAGGAATGCAAGGAGAATTTTGGTTGATATTAAGCAGCCTGGACAGATAGGAGGGTCAGAGTTTGCATTCAATCAAACCACATAGCGTCCCCAAGGGGGGAAAAACACAGATGGTTGTATTATCAGTATGGGTTGTAGCTGAAGGACTTTAGGAGAGCTGGAGGACCAAAATGATTCCAGAAATGTTCTTCTATGCTCTTTCACACTCTAGTATTATATTGGTAATCCCACGTGTCACTCTTTCATGGTAAATATAAAAAAAATATCTGATTTTCTGTGTGTGTATGTGTGTGTGTGCAAGATTATACATGTTTGTATGTGTTGCTCTATGTGCATGCATGTGGGTGAATGCGTGTATGTGTGTGTGATACTGTGCACAAGTTGATGGATGTGTGTGTGCGTGTGTATACCACGCCCATGTGTAGAAGTGCATGTGTGTATGTGAGCACAGGTGGGCGTATCTAGTGGATTATGTGTTGAGTGGTGTTTGCATATCTGGGGATGTATGTGAGCTCCTATGTAGACATGCATTTACATACATTTACTTATGTGTATTTACATACATTATATCCAGACTCAGCAGGCCTCACATTATGACTGAATAAGCCTGGCCTCACAGTGACTCTGTTATCCCCATCACAGAGTCATTCCAGAGAGAAGAGACTTCAAAGGAGGCAGAAAGTATCCTGGACTTCTCCAGAAGTTTCCTGGTATACCTCAAGTGAGGCAGCCAGGAAGAGAAGCGTACAGCCACATGATCATGGGAAATTGAGTTACAATTCCTAAGCATTACAATGGACTTAATGAGGAGCACGGGTAGTCTGCACACCTCGCAGGCTTTTGGGAGGATCACAGGACGTATTGACTATAGAAGCACATGTTTCCAAATGCATGTTTTCCACAGGACGGTAGTTGTTATTAATAACCTTCCCTGAGATCTCCCTGTGGAGATGAGAGATGATTTATGATTCTGGCAAAGGACCAGCAAGCTCCACCGTTGAATGGAGCAGGATTCTCATGGAAATACAACTTTGATTACCAAAGGGTTCCAGCAGGTTTCAGGAGGAGAGTAGCGGACCCACATGTAAGCCAAGCATATCAAGCCAAAGGGAGGCACTTAACACACACACACACACACACACACACACACACACACGAACACACAGCTATGACACTGGTTTGCTGGAGAGCACTGGAGAGTGCATCTCAGAGCTTTTCAGACTTGATTGGCTAGACCTCAAGTACCATTATCCTTAAAGACGTGACAGGAACTTCACGCGCAAAGGAGGTTGGTAGGAATCGCATTTGGCTGTTTTCATTTTGATGTGAGGGGGCCGCAGTACACGAGAGCACTTGTCAGATCCTGCAAACCCTACTCCAAGATACCGAGGGGTGCAGCATCCTGAACTATGCTTTTAGCATTTCCAGCATGAAAACATAGTGTCTGTTGGGGGTCAGAAGGCAGAGCCAGCCTCTGCCAACAGGACTTGAAACAGATCTGAGGATATAGAGGAGAGTAACAAATATTAGGTCCTTTCTCTGAACCTCAGAGGTGAACCATGTAGCCACAGCAAGACAGCTTCCACGTCTGCCCCTTTCATTCATTCACGCTGCTATGTCTTTGCACATGCTATTCCTTGTGCTGGGAACACCTTTCCTCCCAGTATCCTCCTCCAAAGCAGGTCACCATTTAAGAGTCAAATTCAATGGGAATCACATGGGCATCTGGTCACAGCCTCACCAATCAGCAGCTGTGAGTCGTGGACTCCTCACTCACTCAAGCTATCGGAGCTTCCCATACAGGTCTATAAAACGGGGAGAGTAGTAGGTAAGCGCCCATCCTGAGGGAGGATTCGGTGAGGTGATGTGAGCAAAGTGATGAGCAATGGGCTTGACATCTCAGCACAGAGAGTCATCAGGGTGTGAACAAAATATTAATATCTTAACCACATACTAATGTATATTTAAACATGGGAAGTAATGCCTTTGTCTATGTATTTGTAGAGGGGGGACACAGTCTGTGATGGCTTCTCTGTGAATGATGGAGAGCCGAGCCTGCCCTAGACTCTGGTGGTGTTCCCATGCAGGCCTGGTGTGGACCCGGAATGTCTGAGCCTAGGCCGCAGCTGGGAAAGCAAGGTCGGGTTCTTGTGCCTCACGGCCAGGTGCATGCCTCTACGTCATGTCTGTCTGCATCAACTCCCAGAGGTGAGGAAAGAACAAGCCGCTGATGTTTGCCTTTGCTGAGCGAGGTAAACCCCACGCTGCACTCTGCCCTCCACCTGGGGCCGTGGACAATTACTTTGGGACTCTGCCATCCCCCATTTCTGAGACAGAACCAAAGAGGAAGTGGGATCTAACATCTTAATTTGACAAGCTCAAACAGAGGGATGAGTACCATTTCTCTGCTACTGACATGCTTACTCTGCTCCAACAACTATGCCGAGGCACAGACAGGCCAGTGTGTTCATCACTAAAGCTGTCTTCAGGGGGGTTTCAGGGAGGGACCTGGGGGTCACAAAGCTATGTGCATAAGTGCACAGAAGTGTAAAACTGCAGCTGTGATAGGTGCTGAGGAGGAACAGCGGTGCTCCGAAAGTTCGAGGGAAGGAGTGGGGCTGGGCAGCAGGGGTGAGGGGATCTGAGCAAAAGCCTCAGAGATTTCAAAGCCTTAGCCAGGTGGAGAGGCAGGAAGGGCAGGCCAACCAAAGGGAACAAACAGACTATACAAAGCACAGAGCTCAGAGGCCCGCAGATTGGGCGGGGCTCCTCTGAGAAAGGGAGTCGGGAATTCCCACTGCTGTTATAAACCACACGGCACAGGGAGGGCTCCCTTTCACTGAGTGCTACACCTGCATGCTTTGGAGGGAATGACGGAGAGGGTGAGTGATCTATTTTTGTGATCCTGCTAAATACAAGGAACTGATGTGGCTGTTCTCCTTGATGGTATGAGAGAAGCCAAATGGTGGCTTCCCAGTTTCACCAAAATGCCGTTTCCCCCTAAGCTACTAGTGACAGCACAAGCATAAACGCCCCTAGTCCTCACATTTATAGAAGGGTTGCCATGGGTCAGTCTCTGGTCTAAGCATCCTGGACTCAGTACCCTGTTTAACCCCCGTACTACCCCAGCGAGTTGGAGAGTACTCATCACCCTTCAGATATAAAGGAAGCTAGACCGGAGAGGGCTAGGTGTTGACTGAGCCGGGACTCCAGTCCAGGCAGCTCTGGCTTTCCAGTCCACTTTGAAGTCAAAGCACGGGGTCAGCTGAGGGCTTGTTCAAACACAGATGTCTGGGCCCCACGCCCAGCCCAGAGGTTCTGGCTCAACAGATTTGGATGGGGGTCTAAGAATCCCAATCTCCAACAAGTACCAGGTGATTGATGCTGATGTTGCCAGCCCGAGGACAAACAGCCTCATCGCTCCATGCAACACCGCCCTCCACGTGCTTTTTTTCTTTACATTGGTGATGGCACCAAGCCTCAGCCTCCTCGGCCCTAGTCTAAACAGGAGCTGGCTAAAGGAAAGCTCTTAGAAATCCTCATGCTGGTTTCCAGCAATGTGTCCAAACACTTTTTCAAGCCGCATAGAACAGGTGCACTTAAAATATTTCCTCTCCATGGAGGGAAAGGAGAGCCGGACTTGATCTAGTATGCATCTATAGATAAATCAGCCACGGCCCCGCTGCAAGAGAAAGGAGTTGCCATCATGCACTGAACAGGTGTGGTCCGATTTTAATGCACAGGCAGTCTGTCTAGCCATGCAAAGGTAATTGTATTCCTTGTCAATCACTCTGGGCCTGCAATATGCTTTTGCAAGAACATTGCAAATGCACATCTCATTTTCTTAGAAAGGTAATAACAGCAGTTAAATATTTGGTTGAATGCAAGCAGGGGATGATTGCACTATAGCAAATTAGTTTACTTAAAAAAAAGAAAGAAAAGAAAGTATACGATGCCCAAACTATACAGTCTGTTTGTACAATATAATAAATCCCCACCACAACTGCATTTCTGAAAGAGAGGTTATATAAAACTGCTCTACCTTAGTGCCCCTTCCAACTGAAAAATAAATTAAAATTTTAATGCATTTAAATCTAGCTGGTTTTGAATAGATATCAGATGGGTCCATAAACTCCATGGCATTTGTATAGAATTGTGTATATGTATGTGGACACCAACATTTTCCGAGGAAAACACATTTTTAATTAGATTATTAAAGGCATCTGTGACATTTTACTCCCCTCCCCCTGAAAAATTTATGAACCACTGATTTATGGTTTGTGTATACATGCATTCAATTCAGGGGTCATTTTTTTTTTTTTAAATGTTAAGAGGTTGCACTTTAAAACTGGCTGGAAATTTGAACAAGAATTTACACCAGAACCAAACATACAAACAAAAAGCTAGAGAGAATTGTGGTGACTTTAGTTCCTAGCATTTCTATTAAATGAGAAACGTCCTCAACAACAGACAATACAGTCTGAGGATTAGGCATTTAGAAATTAAAACCAGAAAGCATGGTTGATTTCTAGTCTGGGAGGGACATATGCATAGTCCTGGGGGCTAGTGTCAGAAGCTTTTTAGGACCTGACCTAACACCATCCCCAAGCATCTGTGGGCAGATATCATTCTTGCACTGGCCAGATTTAGCAAATTTTCTTTCTCCTGGGATATTACCATATCTTTCCTACATACAAAGTAGCACAGAGTCTACAAACCAGTTCTCAAGGTAACTCTGAGAAGTTGTACATAGATGTGTCCTAACTAATTTCCCGGGAAAGTACAGAACACCTTGTTCAAAGATACCCAGAGAACCAAGACCAAAGCCTTAGGGCGGATGCTAGATGCTTGGCTTAGAGTAATAATAATTTTCAAAATATCCTTTGATGCTCCATTAGAGCGCCTACCATGTCCCCATACCATGCGATGTTCATGGTACACAGTAGGTACTTGATAAGCAGCTACTCAGTTTAGCTAATTAAGAACAAGAATTGGTGAGGCCAGTCAGGGGGTTCCTCTGGGAGGACACTGGGGCTTAGCTGCTGTCTTGTAGTATGAGATGTTGTACTGAATCTGGTGGGTGTGTCTCCAATGTATTTACCCATCACTTCCACCCATAGATCATCAGTCTGCAGGATCCCTGGGATGGCAATGACCCAATGTGCAATTTCTCCCAGATGTGAATCATAGGAAGTCAGATAGGACATTGAGGCTTCTCTATTCAAACTGACTCCAGGATCAAGTTCAAGGAGAAATATGGAAGACCTGGTCTATTGAGCGCTCTGAGAAACCATTCACTAGTTACTATTTTATTTGTGATATACAAGTCTATAAGCCACTGAAGTGTCACTTTCCAAAGCCAACTCTGTGGCTTGTGGGGAATGGAGGTCTGTGAACTACAGGTGCCTCCCAGGAAGGGGTCTAACTCATCACCCATCCTCACTCAGTTAATGTTGATAATCAATAGTGAGTTGGTTGGCTCAGTCTAGGTTTTCTTCTCATCTCTGTGATTCCCTCCAGGGTCCAAACAGAATCCCTTCCACCAGGGGAAATGATCAAATGTTAATGCCCCAAGAAATTGCATTTTAGCTATGTGAGAAAGAAGAGAATAGGGACTCTCCATAACATGTGCTCTTTCTTTGCTGGGAGGGACTTCAGAAAATATCAGCAGGTGGAGGAGAAAACCCAATCCGTACAAGGAGGTGGGTGAATGAGGAGGCATCCTTGGTGACTCCTCCTGGGTGACTATGGTGTTACTGGACACCTCTAAGGGTCACCCAGGACCCCACAAAAGTATCCATGGGGGGGTTCTGTGGGATTTTTTTTTTTTTCAGTATCTTGGAAAACAATATGGAAGCTATACATGGGCATAGGGTAAATGACATATGTTTGGTTGGAATTTCACCAACAAAGGATATATTTCAGACTTCACGAAGAGCAGAGGTTTAGGCTGGCAGTGAGATAAATCTTTAACAGGTGACAAATGGAAAATAATAATAAATGCAGCTTGCTAGAAGACATCTTAGAAAAGATGGGGGTCACTGGGTGTGAGGGACAGTCACGATTGAGAGCTCAACGTGGCAATTTAGGAAATGGACTCAAGTGCATCCCACATTTCTTCTTTTCCTGAAAGCCTTCTCTAAAAACCCAAGCGTAGCTAAGGCACCTTCCCTGGTGTTCACACAACACCGCATCTTATCACTTATCGAATTAATAGAAATTGTTAGCTTATATGGTACTCCTGCCCCTAACGGGAAGAAACTCCTCCAAAGGTGCAAGACAGAAAAGAGATGTTAGGCTGAACTGCACTGGAGTAAAGACATTATGCAGATCTAGAAATCTTCCCGCAAAGGACTTCAGAGACAAACAGCTACAGGAAATCCACACTATCTCCTGGGTCCCCTGAATCCTGATAATGTCACTTCCTGGAAACAGGAACTTCTTACAACCTCTTTGCTATTTGCTTCCACTCAAGCTCTGGGCTCTCACGACTCCAGCCAGGATCTGCTCTGTACTGCCCTCCACTCACCTTTCCAAAAGGAGCTGCCTTCCCACAATCTCCTGCAGCCTAAGCCAACAAGCAGAGGAAAAGGGAAACCTTCATTTAAGATGCTGGGCTCACACTTCTTCATTTGGTGCCAGTGGACTCCAGGCACTTTGTAATACAGTAAAACACCCTGGCTGAATTTCCTATTTTCAACCAGCACTTGGCTCTCATAGACCCTGCAGATAGGGACACACATACCCTAGCCTTTTCTCCTCTTCCTTCTCCCCCACCCCCTCCTCCTATTCCCCCTCTGCCTCCTCTACCGAGAATTTCATCTTACTACTTAGTGTGGTTTCAGGATTCCACTCAGAATATTACCAGCAAAGAGGCACAATGTACTATTATAACCAAAATGGTTAGGAATATTGCTGGAATATTAAAATTAAGTCACGTCTGAAGCAGTCACAAACACACTGCTTCACCATTTGGAGATGCCCATGTGTCTCCCTGATGAACTTGGCATTAATTAGTTATGCATGGTTATTTCCGGCAAGGAGCAAGTTCATTGTAAGTTAGTGAATTTCAATTTTACGGTAGGTGTGTTATTTTGAGATTTTTATAAATTGTTCATGTGAGGATAAGCCATATGATTTTACTTTATTTTTTTTCTTGTTCAGTATAGTAGTGAGATACTGAGGCTACACATACCAAAAAGCTACAATTACTGTCTACTAAGATAATAATTTTCAGACAAACTAATATGGTATAAACATGCAATTTTGTATTTATGGTTTATGAATCTTGCTTTAGTAATTACATGAGCCTACAGGGTAACTTGGTGGGGATTTTTTCTCCCCTTCATAACGACTTATTGTGTGACCTTGGGAATAACATGTATTTATTTCTGCATTTCTGGATCTATAAAACAGGCTCAACACTGTGGGGCTAGAGATAATGATTACACTATGGATGATTCCTTATATCACATGGTCAGATATCTAAGGCTTAGGATGTACAGATGCATCTTTTTGGAGGGTGGGGAGAATTTATGGTGAATTCATCTTTGGTTTGTTATTATCTACCATCTTTCCAGTGAAAAAGAAATTTGTGCTCTTGTTTTGTCCACTAAGAAACTCAGAAATGACCCAAGTCTAATCACAACAAAAGAAACAATGAACACTGACTGATTTCTCTACCTTTGTTTTCCCTTCCTGATGATTTCATCGAGTTTCATTTATTTATATTCTTAACTTTGTCTCATTGCGTTTGTGTTTGAAACACTTCAAATGCTCTCCTCTGCAATGGGTGAGATATGAATAAATAATGAAAAGAGAGTGGTTCCCTTTGTCATCAGTATAATAGAGAGATGATCTAGGCTCATTCAGGTTTTCTAAAAAATTTATAAGCAATAGAGCTATAAAAAATGCATTAACCCTTTTGGTACAGTCTGGAATACAACTGTATTCTTTCTACAGACCAGAAAGCCAGGTACTGGCCAGGAATGCCTTGTGCCAAACTGTCTTGGGTATAGCTGAGGTTTTGTTAATAGTACTATTGAGATGGGGAGCCTCATGACTGTTTGCATTGGGGAAGGGTGTCCTGTGCACTGTGGATCTTCAACAGCATCCCTGGCCTCTACCTATTACATTCCTGCTCCTTTTGAAACAATCCAAAATGTCTCCGGACATTCCAAACATCCCCTGAGGACCACCAGAGACATTCCTTTCTCCCTGATGCCAGGGGTGCCAGAATTTTCCAGAAGGATCCCTTAACAGGAAGAAAGAAAGGGTACCATTTCAGGGCTGCAGCCCACCACACCATTATCCCTATTTCTTAGCATTCACCACCATTCTTTGAGTTTCATCTGGCAATGCCGAAGTCCATGTGCATAAAAACCAAACTGCCCACGGGGAACACATTAACTTGCAGTTTCTTGCAGAGGGGAAAGGAGGGCAAATGCCCATTTTGGAAAATCCAATTGAAAGGAGTCTTACTTCCAATTTCTTTGAACTTTTGAACTTTTGCATTTGACTCCACACCTAATTTTCTCTTCTCAGGCAAGGGTTCATAAACCTTAAAGTGAAAGGTGTCTTTGCAGAGGGCAGCAAGATCATCCCCCCACCCCCAGCGAATTTTATGTTTGGAAACTTTGTGGCCCTCCATGGCCGGATTCAAGGGGCAAATGTGATCCAACCTCCTTAATAACCAGATGTTTGCAATCATCGGAAATATGTCTTTGGCTGTAGCCATTTCTCTGTTCTCCAGCATTCAGTCTCAAAGGGAATTTACATAACAACATGTGACATGTAGAATGCTTAAAGGCACCAACCATGACAAGACAAATTACATTCATTTTTCAATACTCTTTGCAAGGTGCTCCACGTCAGGCGCGCGCCGAAGGCATGCTGGGGCGGTTCCGGTGGGGCGCTCAAGACCAGCATGCGCTCGCAAACAGGAGGGGGCAGGTGCGTGAGGCCCGCCGCCAGGGGGAGGCTGACCCACTTACCCGCCGTAGGCCGGGATCGGGGGCGGGGGCGCAGCGGCCCGGAAGGTGTTGTACACGGTGCGGCCGCGGCCTCGCAGGTGAGCCCCTCGGTAGGCGGCTGCTGCGGTGGCGGCTGGATACGGGAAGCCGGGCACTGCAGGGGCGGAGAGGAGAGAGCAGAGAAAAGGCTTTCAGAAGCACACCTGTCGTTGAGTGCAACCCGCCCCCCACCCCGGACCCTTCTCCCTGCAGGCCAAAGTTGGACACCTGTCCCCTGTCCAGGATCAGGGTGGTACGAGGAGTGCAGCGGGGTGAAGGCCAAGGTCCAAGTCCAGACAGGACGGGCTACTTAAGGCGGTGGTCCATGTGCGCAAGACAATTCGGTAAATGACAAACATTTACAAAGACTTTTTAATAAGAGGAGGCAAGCTCACTGCACAAAGTTAAAATTTTACAAAGGTAGATTGCAAGATGTGCAGTATATTGTCGACATCTATCATCTATCTATACATAGGTGTGTATACTGTGTATAATAGATCCTTATATTTGAGCACACAAAATACATGAGTATGGTGTATACACACACGTGTGTGCATGTGAGTGAATATGCATGCCCATATTTATTCTGTGTTGTATAATGCACATGTCTATGTGAACATGTCCATATGCATATATTTATGTGCTCGAGTATATATGTATATAATTGTGTATACATATGCACACATATATCTGTGTGTTCGTAGACATCTCTGGTGCTGAACTGTGTGCACGCTAATTGTCTACTCATTGCTTTCCCCATCTTATTTTTATTTATTTCCCACATTTTCCTTGATGTCCGTATATCGCTTGTTTTAAAATTGCAATACAAAATTTTTAAAGTGCAACACACCGTTCCTACGGACACGTGCATGCATCTGTGCAAACCCCTTATGCTCCAAGAAACAAATGTTTACCAATGTCCGAATCAGGCCCCAAACCATTTAACAGCTTTGAAGACACATACAACAACCATAACTACATAGAAGTCTGGGAATTAAGAACTCTTAAGAAGAGGGTGTGGGCTGGGTTTTTCCTCCTTGGGGGAAAATTCTCTGAGCAGGATGGCTTGGTGAGGAGTCAGGAGGGAAATTAAGCCTGAAGCCAGGGACCCCTGATCATTCATTCTCTTGCCTGGGAGGTCCTTCCTCCTGGGGTGTCTGCAAATTCTGACACATCAGGGCCCCCATAGGCTTCAGGAAACCACTTCTGCTGTTCCTTACTTGTGTGCATCTCACAGGGCTCTTGCTACGCTTGCCGTGTTACCTTTTCTCCCTCTCATTAACCAGCAACCTCCTCAGGGCCTCTCCAAGTCAGCAGAAGCCCCCTGATCGTCTTCACAGCGGGTTCTCAATATTGGACCTTGAATGACTGTAGGGTGGCTTCACTGCATGAACAAGTGAATGCAGTTGTAGGTTGCTGGGCAGGCCAGATGATGGACACAATCTGCAGTCAACCTCCCCCCTCCCTCCGCCCCAGGTTCTTCTCCCATCTGCCATTCTCTAACAGAGCAGGAGCTTTTCAGAGCGAGGGGGAAACAGGTAAAAAGGAGCAGGGCAGAAAGGCTTCCTCCCCTGCGCACCCCCTCCCATCCACGCTCCCTCTCTCCTGGGAGTTCTTTCTGTGGCGTTTGTATGGACAGGCAAGGCTGGCGGGGGCAGTTTCTTTGGGCGTGACATGAACATGCAGGCTCAGGCCATCCTACCACAAGGGAGACTCTCACAAGTGGATAACCAGCGCACAGAGACCTCGCTCCAGGAGCTCTGTTTTGGGGGAACACCGAACTGCTCACAGGGTCTTATGTTTCATGCAGTGTTGAAGTTGCCTCCACCTATATCCAAACTGCCAAGGAGGGGCTTCTCCCCTTCCTTCCACCATATTCAGAATCAGAAGCCCTCCATCCCATCTCTTCATTGGCTGCAGTGTCCTTGGACAGTCTATGTCTTAGCTGTGTGGGGCAGGGGCCATAGCAGAAGATGGGGAGACAAAGGGTGTGGCGTCTCCCACAGAAGCGTCCCCAGGTGCATACCATCTCGCAGAAGTGCACAGACTAGAATAGAATCCTTGAACCCAACCCGAAGACTGACTGGCTATCATCTGGAATTCTCTGCGTGTTCTCGTGGATTCCACCATATCTTTCTCTCATGATGGAGGGCAAAATGCTGGGAATGTAGAATTGCATCAGAATGATTTTATCTTTCTATTTGTGTCTGGAAAGACCATATAGGTTATTTTTAACCTTCTTTTTTTATTGTTGTTAAAGACAAATTGTGCAGCTGTCCTTAACTCTCAGCTTGCCAGCGCCAGTGCACCCACATCTCCTGGCTCGTGTTACAACTAATGTGCTTGAAATTATAGAGAGGTGTCAGTCTTAATGGGGGAAGCCAATAATTCCTAACACCATAAAAGCCCAGAAAGTAATGAGATCTGAGATGCCTGTTTCCGGACCGGGGAGAAAATGGGTGAGTGCGGCTTTGACTCCAAGTCTGTCTTGCCACTGCTCAAACATTAAGTTTTCATAGGAACGCCCTGCATTTTGAAATAAGGAAAATGAAAAATTCACAATCTGGCAGAGCAGCTGGCTGCTTGTGCGAGGAAACACGGTAATTATGCTGACCCATTCATTATCGCTGGCTACGGTGCACAGTGAGCGAGACCAGATCCCTCTCAGCGACAAGCAGGTTTTAAAATAATTCTTGGAGGATTTAGATGTTGAGATACAACATGAAACAGAGGCTCGGCAGCACGAGCTGCTGGGAATACAGAGCCAGGAGTCCATTTGGACCCTCTTTTCTGCAGGGGAAAGATGTTTCTGCTGATGCCGGATAAGGTAGCTACAGGGCTTAATGCAAGGCTTTTGGGGCTCCTCCAAGCAAGGCACATTAGAGGGATTCTTACTTTGTTAAAGGAACACAGGAAGGAGAACACAGCAACTCCTGGTTTAAAAATCACCTTTTTGGGAGGCAAAGTGCCCTTAGACAAAATAAGGGGGTTCCACAGTTCATGTTTTGGACCAGAGGCTTCATGGAGAAAGTGTGAGTCTCTCAGATGGAGGGTTTGCTCAGCTCTCTTTTTTGTTACCAGTCTCAGGCTGCCAAGGGGTCTCCTTGGGGAGCCTCTAGTTAGTCATCATGATTAATGAGCATTTCCTTTCTCTTAACTTTCTTACTTTCCATCCTTCTTATTCTGGTCCTCCTTTCTCCCCCTCTCTTCTCTTCCTTCTTTCCTTCCTTCCCTGCTTCCCACTCTTCCATGACACTGCCCTCCATATACAGCGTCCTGCCCAGGATTTGCACATACATCGTGGGCGCAGGACACAAGAGGGTCTCAGCCATGATCCCTATACAAGTAAGTTCTACATTCATACTTTACAGGTGCTGCACTGGCTCAGGAATCGCAACCACACTTGGGACATGTGTGCTTCTGATGAAAAGGGAGAGGACTTAGGAAGCATTATACTTGGAAGTATTGCAAAACCTTCATTCCTTGAAATTCACTTTCACTGCTGTGTTGTGTCAGGATTGGGAGATCAGCTTCTTGTTCTGGAGAAAAGGAGGACTCAAACTCGGTTCCCCATCCACTCCCACACAGGTGATACCCATTAAAAGGCCTGTGGGATCAGGTTCCTTCCTTCACGTAGTCCCAGACAGTTTCTCTGGCAGCCCAGCCAATCTCAGTCTCCATGTGCCATAAATGTATGCAACAAGGAACAATGGAAAATAACATTCCTTATACTCCCTAACTCCTCTGATTTATAGCTGAGCCTTCCGTATTTCTCATCTCCAATAGAGGAGACTCCCCCCACCCTCCTGTAGATGGTTTAGGACTCTTGAGTGGCTCCCTTCACTTTCCTCTCAGACAAATGGTCCATTCCAAGACAAATCCAACAACAACTGATTTGTTTACTTGCCTACCAGGTGCATTGGCTTGTAGGTGCTGGGACATGGTTAAATGCATATTTGAAGCAATTACCTAGACAGATGATTCAGATACAGACTAAGCAACACTGCAATGGCTTTCTCCTTTGAACCACATAGAAAGAAGACATCTCAATTATGTGCTGACTTTGGGACATGACACACCTATCATTTGTTGAGTCAGAGTTATCACATTGTCTATCAATGCCTCAGTTTGGGAGTTTGGAACCAGTAAGTGGGAAATGAATGTTTAATAAATCTAATGCAAAATGCCAAATGGAAACTCACATTGTCCTCTTCATTTCTGGAACGGAGTAAATCAATGCTAATCAAAGCTGTAAACCTGTCACCCTGTCCCATGTTTATAAAAGCCTCTTTGTTAATTAAAGAACAATGTTAGAAAGAAAAGACACCAAATTATAGGCATTTCTAAACCCCTAGTGCTGGAGTTTGATTTTTTTTCTAGTTGAACTTCCTTTCAGTTAATAAACATGTAAAGAGCCCATCATTGGGGAATAATGCAAAGTATTCAGGTTGCTTTGTGGATACAGTATAAATCCTCAGTTGTTGGCATGAGGGAGACAAGGGAAGAGGGGAAAAAAGTAGGTTCATTATACTGGAAAGGTTCCCTCTTAAACCTTATCCAGCATGAATCAAAGTGAAAAATCTGGTATCACTGCAACGAAAATTGGATTTAGCTCATAAGCTAAAAATGAGTTTCTCTCAAAGAAAACAGAGCAAGGGCTTTTGGAGAAAATACCAATTGCGCATCTTGTTGACACATCAACATTCCTTGCCTACCCACTCCCAACCTTCAGCTAGATTTATACCCAGCACATATTTTGGGGGATGTTAGTAGAATAACGCTCTCAGCTCTTGGGCATGAGGAGCTGTATACCATGGAACTCAATGAAATGGAAACTTTAGGGATGTAACAAGAGGCATGCTGTGATGTGCTCAAGTATCAAGGCAAATCAACATTTTTAAATGGAAGATGTGTGGGTGTATCAACCAGCCAAATGGGCCATTTACCAAAGTGTCAACTGCTTACTGCCTGTCTCCCATCAAAGACAAAGCTCCCACCTCCCACCAGAATTCTCTGAGCTCTGCACTCCGTGTATTTACACTGACAAACGTGTGTTCTCCCCCTCTGTCTTCTTTACGAATATAGTGCTTACCTTCGAAATAAACACAAATGAGA